GGTCTCAATCCAAGGGAGGAACATCAAATGGACCTAATTTGGGAACCGGAAGAGGTAAGGAGTCCGAAATGTACCTCTGTGACTCCACATTGAGGAAACTCACTTGTAGTGTATAAGATGAACTAGATGGACCCATACTTACCCAAACATGGATTAATAGTTCTACACATGACTATGAGGACAAACATGAGTGAAACGGTCTCAATCCAAGGGAGGAACATCAAATGGACCAAATTTGGGAACCGGAAGAGGTAAGGAGTCCGAAATGTACCTCTGTGACTCCACATTGAGGAAACTCACTTGTAGTGTATAAGATGAACTAGATGGACCCATACTTACCCAAACATGGATTAATAGGTTCTCCACATGACTATGAGGACAATTACTATGAGGACAAACATGGTGAAACGGTCTCAATCCAAGGGAGGAACATCAAATGGACCTAATTTGGGAACCGGAAGAGGTAAGGAGTCCGAAATGTACCTCTGTGACTCCACATTGTGGAAACTCACTTGTAGTGTATAAGATGAACTAGATGGACCCATACTTACCCAAACATGGATTAATAGGTTCTCCACATTACTATGAGGACAAACATGAGTGAAACGGTCTCAATCCAAGGGAGGAACATCAAATGGACCTAATTTGGGAACCGGAAGAGGTAAGGAGTCCGAAATGTACCTCTGTGACTCCACATTGTGGAAACTCACTTGTAGTGTATAAGATGAACTAGATGGACCCATACTTACCCAAACATGGATTAATAGGTTCTCCACATTACTATGAGGACAAACATGAGTGAAACGGTCTCAATCCAAGGGAGGAACATCAAATGGACCTAATTTGGGAACCGGAAGAGGTAAGGAGTCCGAAATGTACCTCTGTGACTCCACATTGTGGAAACTCACTTGTAGTGTATAAGATGAACTATATGGACCCATACTTACCCAAACATGGATTAATAGGTTCTCCACATTACTATGAGGACAAACATGAGTGAAACGGTCTCAATCCAAGGGAGGAACATCAAATGGACCAAATTTGGGAACCGGAAGAGGTAAGGAGTCCGAAATGTACCTCTGTGCTCCACATTGTGGAAACTCACTTGTAGTGTATAAGATGAACTAGATGGACCCATACTTACCCAAACATGGATTAATAGGTTCTCCACATTACTATGAGGACAAACATGAGTGAAACGGTCTCAATCCAAGGGAGGAACATCAAATGGACCTAATTTGGGAACCGGAAGAGGTAAGGAGTCCGAAATGTACCTCTGTGACTCCACATTGTGGAAACTCACTTGTAGTGTATAAGATGAACTATATGGACCCATACTTACCCAAACATGGATTAATAGGTTCTCCACATTACTATGAGGACAAACATGAGTGAAACGGTCTCAATCCAAGGGAGGAACATCAAATGGACCAAATTTGGGAACCGGAAGAGGTAAGGAGTCCGAAATGTACCTCTGTGACTCCACATTGTGGAAACTCACTTGTAGTGTATAAGATGAACTAGATGGACCCATACTTACCCAAACATGGATTAATAGGTTCTCCACATTACTATGAGGACAAACATGAGTGAAACGGTCTCAATCCAAGGGAGGAACATCAAATGGACCAAATTTGGGAACCGGAAGAGGTAAGGAGTCCGAAATGTACCTCTGTGCTCCACATTGTGGAAACTCACTTGTAGTGTATAAGATGAACTAGATGGACCCATACTTACCCAAACATGGATTAATAGGTTCTCCACATTACTATGAGGACAAACATGAGTGAAACGGTCTCAATCCAAGGGAGGAACATCAAATGGACCAAATTTGGGAACCGGAAGAGGTAAGGAGTCCGAAATGTACCTCTGTGACTCCACATTGTGGAAACTCACTTGTAGTGTATAAGATGAACTAGATGGACCCATACTTACCCAAACATGGATTAATAGGTTCTCCACATGACTATGAGGACAAACATGAGTGAAACGGTCTCAATCCAAGGGAGGAACATCAAATGGACCTAATTTGGGAACCGGAAGAGGTAAGGAGTCCGAAATGTACCTCTGTGACTCCACATTGTGGAAACTCACTTGTAGTGTATAAGATGAACTAGATGGACCCATACTTACCCAAACATGGATTAATAGGTTCTCCACATGACTATGAGGACAAACATGAGTGAAACGGTCTCAATCCAAGGGAGGAACATCAAATGGACCTAATTTGGGAACCGGAAGAGGTAAGGAGTCCGAAATGTACCTCTGTGACTCCACATTGTGGAAACTCACTTGTAGTGTATAAGATGAACTAGATGGACCCATACTTACCCAAACATGGATTAATAGGTTCTCCACATGACTATGAGGACAAACATGAGTGAAACGGTCTCAATCCAAGGGAGGAACATCAAATGGACCAAATTTGGGAACCGGAAGAGGTAAGGAGTCCGAAATGTACCTCTGTGACTCCACATTGTGGAAACTCACTTGTAGTGTATAAGATGAACTAGATGGACCCATACTTACCCAAACATGGATTAATAGGTTCTCCACATGACTATGAGGACAAACATGAGTGAAACGGTCTCAATCCAAGGGAGGAACATCAAATGGACCTAATTTGGGAACCGGAAGAGGTAAGGAGTCCGAAATGTACCTCTGTGACTCCACATTGTGGAAACTCACTTGTAGTGTATAAGATGAACTAGATGGACCCATACTTACCCAAACATGGATTAATAGGTTCTCCACATGACTATGAGGACAAACATGAGTGAAACGGTCTCAATCCAAGGGAGGAACATCAAATGGACCTAATTTGGGAACCGGAAGAGGTAAGGAGTCCGAAATGTACCTCTGTGACTCCACATTGTGGAAACTCACTTGTAGTGTATAAGATGAACTAGATGGACCCATACTTACCCAAACATGGATTAATAGGTTCTCCACATGACTATGAGGACAAACATGAGTGAAACGGTCTCAATCCAAGGGAGGAACATCAAATGGACCAAATTTGGGAACCGGAAGAGGTAAGGAGTCCGAAATGTACCTCTGTGACTCCACATTGTGGAAACTCACTTGTAGTGTATAAGATGAACTAGATGGACCCATACTTACCCAAACATGGATTAATAGGTTCTACACATGACTATGAGGACAAACATGAGTGAAACGGTCTCAATCCAAGGGAGGAACATCAAATGGACCAAATTTGGGAACCGGAAGAGGTAAGGAGTCCGAAATGTACCTCTGTGACTCCACATTGTGGAAACTCACTTGTAGTGTATAAGATGAACTAGATGGACCCATACTTACCCAAACATGGATTAATAGGTTCTCCACATTACTATGAGGACAAACATGAGTGAAACGGTCTCAATCCAAGGGAGGAACATCAAATGGACCAAATTTGGGAACCGGAAGAGGTAAGGAGTCCGAAATGTACCTCTGTGACTCCACATTGTGGAAACTCACTTGTAGTGTATAAGATGAACTAGATGGACCCATACTTACCCAAACATGGATTAATAGGTTCTCCACATGACTATGAGGACAAACATGAGTGAAACGGTCTCAATCCAAGGGAGGAACATCAAATGGACCTAATTTGGGAACCGGAAGAGGTAAGGAGTCCGAAATGTACCTCTGTGACTCCACATTGTGGAAACTCACTTGTAGTGTATAAGATGAACTAGATGGACCCATACTTACCCAAACATGGATTAATAGGTTCTACACATGACTATGAGGACAAACATGAGTGAAACGGTCTCAATCCAAGGGAGGAACATCAAATGGACCAAATTTGGGAACCGGAAGAGGTAAGGAGTCCGAAATGTACCTCTGTGACTCCACATTGTGGAAACTCACTTGTAGTGTATAAGATGAACTAGATGGACCCATACTTACCCAAACATGGATTAATAGGTTCTACACATGACTATGAGGACAAACATGAGTGAAACGGTCTCAATCCAAGGGAGGAACATCAAATGGACCTAATTTGGGAACCGGAAGAGGTAAGGAGTCCGAAATGTACCTCTGTGACTCCACATTGTGGAAACTCACTTGTAGTGTATAAGATGAACTAGATGGACCCATACTTACCCAAACATGGATTAATAGGTTCTACACATGACTATGAGGACAAACATGAGTGAAACGGTCTCAATCCAAGGGAGGAACATCAAATGGACCAAATTTGGGAACCGGAAGAGGTAAGGAGTCCGAAATGTACCTCTGTGACTCCACATTGTGGAAACTCACTTGTAGTGTATAAGATGAACTAGATGGACCCATACTTACCCAAACATGGATTAATAGGTTCTCCACATGACTATGAGGACAAACATGAGTGAAACGGTCTCAATCCAAGGGAGGAACATCAAATGGACCAAATTTGGGAACCGGAAGAGGTAAGGAGTCCGAAATGTACCTCTGTGACTCCACATTGTGGAAACTCACTTGTAGTGTATAAGATGAACTAGATGGACCCATACTTACCCAAACATGGATTAATAGGTTCTCCACATTACTATGAGGACAAACATGAGTGAAACGGTCTCAATCCAAGGGAGGAACATCAAATGGACCAAATTTGGGAACCGGAAGAGGTAAGGAGTCCGAAATGTACCTCTGTGACTCCACATTGTGGAAACTCACTTGTAGTGTATAAGATGAACTAGATGGACCCATACTTACCCAAACATGGATTAATAGGTTCTCCACATGACTATGAGGACAAACATGAGTGAAACGGTCTCAATCCAAGGGAGGAACATCAAATGGACCAAATTTGGGAACCGGAAGAGGTAAGGAGTCCGAAATGTACCTCTGTGACTCCACATTGTGGAAACTCACTTGTAGTGTATAAGATGAACTAGATGGACCCATACTTACCCAAACATGGATTAATAGGTTCTACACATGACTATGAGGACAAACATGAGTGAAACGGTCTCAATCCAAGGGAGGAACATCAAATGGACCAAATTTGGGAACCGGAAGAGGTAAGGAGTCCGAAATGTACCTCTGTGACTCCACATTGTGGAAACTCACTTGTAGTGTATAAGATGAACTAGATGGACCCATACTTACCCAAACATGGATTAATAGGTTCTACACATGACTATGAGGACAAACATGAGTGAAACGGTCTCAATCCAAGGGAGGAACATCAAATGGACCAAATTTGGGAACCGGAAGAGGTAAGGAGTCCGAAATGTACCTCTGTGACTCCACATTGTGGAAACTCACTTGTAGTGTATAAGATGAACTAGATGGACCCATACTTACCCAAACATGGATTAATAGGTTCTACACATGACTATGAGGACAAACATGAGTGAAACGGTCTCAATCCAAGGGAGGAACATCAAATGGACCAAATTTGGGAACCGGAAGAGGTAAGGAGTCCGAAATGTACCTCTGTGACTCCACATTGTGGAAACTCACTTGTAGTGTATAAGATGAACTAGATGGACCCATACTTACCCAAACATGGATTAATAGGTTCTACA